TACAATTTGGTTTTTTAAGATTTAATTCGACAAGCTCATCGTAACAAGATCTCAAAATACAATTGTCAGTTTTCAATAATTTTAACCAGTACTTTATAATGGATATTTTACGCTTTATCTGTAAAGGAAATCGACCTAACTCAAAGTAAACCATAGAATTATTTACAGACTTTTTAACTCCAAGAACTTCTTTCAGGAAATGCAAATGAACTTTTTCAATTTGTGTTGCAGGACAGAATCCCCAGACTTCACAACAATAGTTAAGTAAACAAGTGATATAAGTGTCGAATAATGACAACTTAGTTTCACAGTTTAACTTAAATTCCTAAAATTCCTTTTCAATAAAAAAAACAACAAGCTTTTCTACCTTTGGCAGCAATGTTATCCAATGCTAAAGTAAAACTGCCATTATAATTGAATACTAGCCCCAGATAACAAAAGTTGTCTACTATTTCAATAGGCCTACCATTGTATGTCCATTTCTCATTAGGTAAAACACGTTTGTTTTTTCTGAATATCACTACTTTTGTTTTATCCACATTTACCTTTAAATTCCAGCGTTCAGCATAGGAATGCAAGTGGTCAAGCATATTTTGCAGATCGACTACGTCCTCGGAAAACAAAACCGTGTCGGTTAGTATATAGTATAATAAAAATATTGATCAACGGTAACTGATAACTCTGACAATTTGAGTTAATAAGATCTGACTCCATGTCATTAATAAATAATGAAAGTAAAATCGGGGATAAAGATTCCCCTTGTAATAAACCGATCTGGAGGTCGTACGTGGGAAACAATTTACCATTTAATTTGACGCAAGATTTGACATTATCATAAATAGATCTTATGACATTTAACAGTCGACCCCTAACCCCTGACTTCCATAACTTAAACCATAATTTGTCATGTGATATGCTATCGAAAGCCTTTTAATAATCAACAAAAACACAGTAGAGTCGTTTATTATTACTCTGTAAAGTTTTGGTAATTAAAGCATTTAGTACAAACATTGCATCCCGTGTACCACTTCCGGGTCGGAATCCAAATTGAGCGTCAGAAATTACATTTTCATTTTCACTCCATGACAGTAAACGTTTATTAAGAAGGGACGTGAATAGCTTAGCTAAATGACTAATGATGGTTATACCTCTATAGTTGTTAACGTTATTTTTGTCACCTTTTTTATGTATGGGTACAACAACACCCTGTGCCCATGACTTAGGGAAATATCCTACACGCAAAATAGTATTGAATAATTTTAACAATACAGGTACAAATAATTCACTATATTAAATGAAATACTCGTTTAACAACATATCTATACCAACAGATTTTCCCTTAGATAGACACATTATAGCTGTAACTAACTCCTGTGTACTAAACTCATTGTCCGGTTCAGAATATAGACAATCATTATTATTTGTAGGCTCATCAGGACAAAATGGTGTCTCAGCTGTGGTATCAGACAAGTCTTTGAAATATTTGAAAAAAATCATCAAGTGATAAGTCACCCGTATGAACAGGTTTACGCTTAGAAAAATTACGGTAAAAAGACTTTGGGTCGTTACGTCTTAAAGTGTCCATCATATTACCTTCCATTTGGAGATACAGGCGCTTCGTTTTAGCTTCATAAAATTTATACCGCTTTTTGGATGACGACAAATTATCTCTGTTACATACAGACTTACATTTATTAAACTCAAAAAGTGCAGATTTGTAGATGCTATATAATCGCTTACACTCTGAGTTGAACCATGGTTTATCTGGACTTTTCATACCACGACGAGGCAATTCATGACAGGAATAATTACAGTTTAGGACTACTTTTTTCTGCAACAAAAACGGTCAAACAATGAATGAACATTATTAACCAAAACTTCAAGGCAATGATCAATACTTTCACTAGACGGCAAACATGTTCCGAATACGTTGCTACATTATGAATTATTTATCAAGTATTTTAGAAATTATCATAGGGGAATATATGCTACCATATCGATTTTTCTATTTATTTTAATCACTGTATATCATTCTTGCTTACGTTCATCACTGTCAATTAGCTGATATAGCGCATGTAGAAAAGGGACTTCATTTTTCATCCAAATTAGTTAAACATTCCTTTATAGTGAAATTCTTTTTAAATTGGAGTGCATATCAAAGTTTACTATGCAGGATATATAGTTATGATCCTGCTGTTTAATAACTTATTATCACAATTCTTGTTGTTTAAACTGCAAATTGAAGTAAAACAGCTAAATGTAATACTAATGAATTTAATATTGTATATGTATGTTTCAGGTGCACACGAAGTTGATAAACAGTAAAATGGCAGTCGGGAGCCCGCGTTTCTCATACAACAGCAACTAAATAAATACTTATTCAAAAGAAGACAGTCCTGTTACTTTAATATCATCGTTTGAATTGTTGATATTTTGCAAGTATTTCGTTACAGCAAACTTAAAATATGGATTCGCTTCATGCAAAAGTATTATCTTATCATTAAATCAATTAAACTTTTAAGTTGATTTTGGGTGTGTCATAACAAAAGACTTGTCCATTGTGTTTCTCCCTATATTGATCAGCAAGTGAGTTCGGAAAGAGTGACGAAACGTACATGCATGGAAAACGACTAAACGAAAATGGTAATAATATCATTCTGACATTTGTTTATTGAAGCCAGTGTCACATTTCCTACACAATGTATAGAACCGATTTGTGACCACTGTTGTACTGACGTCGGGCATACTATACATACATACGTTGATATAACGTTGGGCCAACATTAGACTTAGATCCGACGTCGAGCCAACTTCACTACGGTGGACAGACGATTCCAAAATTAAAATTGTTCTATTCCAAATACGTCTGCTTCTTGCTGAATGACCTTTTTAATTCATGGTTTTGGAAAGAACACATAAATATGATTAATAGAATTAAATATATATGATATACATATGGTGGTGACAATTAAGAGCCGCCATTTAAAAAAAATGACATCAATAATGTACAAAATCACGGGAAAATATTCAAATTAAAGCCTGATGTTGTGGATTTCACTTTTTAACATATATATCATTTACAATTATGATGTGATACAATATGTATTACTAGAATATCAAAAATGGCGGCCATCTCGGAAAAATTCTGCTTGGCCCCATATCCAAAATTGATAAGTACATTCATGCCAAGTTTCATGCTTCTGCTAAAATTCCCGCAATTAGTTTGACTTAGAATTATTTTAGATCGATGTGGCTTCAAAACTACCGCTGTTGGTATTGAAAAGTGTCTTGGTAGAATCAGCAGTAATGCTCAATTCTATAGTTAGTTTTGATATAATTATATTCTAATTAAATACGTAACAGTCTAGAAAGGAAGCCAATGAGACTGAAGAGCATTTGAATTAGTTTAAATCATTAAACTACATGTATATAATTATAATAATAATAAAATAAAACTATTTGGTAAGACTTTGGTCTGACAGACACGTATAAGGGTCACGCAGCTATGACGTCTAATCCGATAGATACGTCATAGAGTAACGCAGGTATCGCGTCTAATCCGAAAGGTACGGCATAGAGTCACGCAGACATGACGTACGTCTAATCCGACAGGTACGTTATAAAGTTACACAGGCAACGTACGTCTAAGCCGACAGGTACGTCATATAGTCACGCAGGCATGACGTACGTCTAATCCGACAGGTACGTCATAGAGTTAAGCAGGCATGACGTACGTCTAATCCGACAGGTACGTCATAGAGTTAAGCAGGCATGACGTACGTCTAATCCCATATAATCGAGTCATGCAGGCTTGACGTCTAAGCCGACAAGTATGTAGTCGAGTCACGCAAAGACTTTGATATCAAACGGGATCATCCATGTATTTTTATTCTATTTTTTTCATATTTCTTACCGGTTTTTTTATTATCATTTTTGTCTATACTGCTAAAATCGACATGAACAGATTTTATGTTTCATTTTGCGTGCATCCCCCGCGTTTTATTCCACTTAGCTGTTGTTGACAGTCGACTCTATGTAATTCCTTGGATGTAAGGTAAATCCTGCCACGACAGACGTTATCCTCAAGGCCGGATGTCACGCCGGACGCCGCGCAGATGACGGAGATCCATTGAGAGATTATCGGAGACAACTGGATAGATGTGCCTGTAGTTTGGTTAGCTTTGTCTGGGAATATCCACCACAGAACCCTATATGACAAACGACCAGGCCCTGTTTGTAATGTCTGGTTAACTTTGTCTGAAGAGATTATCTACCGTGGAATCCAACATGGACAGGCGACCAAAGTGTGATTAGCTTTATGTGTCTATTGAGGCTGTCTTACTACGGGCAGACAACGTCCAGCTGTTGGTAACGTTTGGTTAGCTTTGTCTGGGAATATCTACCACAGAACCCTATATGACAAACGACCATGTCCTGTTTGTAATGTCTGGTTAACTTTGTCTGAAGAGATTATCTACCGCGGAATCATGCATGGACAGGCGACCAATCTAAAGTATAGTTAGCCTTTTGTACCCATGGAGGTTGTCTTACACTGCATGATACCTTTAATTTATATACAGTGAATGGGCAGACGACCCCCTCCTGTTGGTAAAGTCGGGTTAACTTTGTCAGAGAAAAGACGGAGAAATATAGATAGTTCTAAATGAATAAAATGTCAAAACAAAGAGAAAAAACTGGTGACGAGTTTTACTGAAACTATCTAAATAGTGTATGGCTATTGTTAAAAAATGTTAAATTCATAAATGCATTAATTAACGTACAGTAGGTATAATCATCAAAATTGATAGAGCCCTGTCAAAAATAAGAAGAAATGTTCATTGTGTTGTGTTATTTCTAAATACCACTTCGTTGTAGCAATGATTAGTGCTCATTTCTTGGAGAAATATGGAGCGTTAGAATTGTTCATGGTTAGGTGATTTACACATAAATTTAAATTTAATAATCTTTTTATTTTACTGACCGTCTTAGTCTCCGGATTTAAAACATCCCTCGGTAAAAATCCAGAGTTGCGCCCCCTGTTGAAAACGAAAGAAGAACATGGCCAACGCTGACGACACGAAGCTGAAGGTATTGTATTAATGGTATACATGTTGCAACCTTACAGACGATAACAATATATATACAAAGTCATATTTTTTTGTGGTGTAGAACCATTATTGGGACTGTGTTTTCCGATCGTCTATAACAAGTCAGTGGACCAATTTGACACCGAGTCTCACAGAGTCTTGTGGTAACTGTTGCCGCTAATGTAGGTCAATACCATGTATCGTGGCTAATCACGATCAGTACTAAGCTTAGTGATGATACATTTACATTATTAACCTAGTTTGAAATGAAATCCCATGCAACAGGTTTCACTACACAGAACGGTTGAACAACGTGATTTTATTGCAGTGTCTGTGTAGTGTCATTCTAGACATAGGTACTGTTCGCAGGGCTACTATATATATATGTTTGGGTAATATAGTGTTAATCAAATTAAATTATTTACAAATGTTGGACGTTTCACACCTAACTGGTTTCCAACAGCGACCACAGGTACTAGCCTAGTTTGTCAATACACCTATAATATAGACAGGTGATTCAAGCTACAGCGATGTTTCGCACCCACCTGTGTTATTTACATTTAGCCCCTGTGTCAAATTAAAAACACATTTAGCCTCTAACCCCCCAAAAATATGTACATGTAGTCCTTGACCTGTGACTGATGTCTCGAGTAGTAACCGCGACCTGTCACCACTTTATGCATAACACATTAGTTGTTAGACAAACTATTCCCTAAGGCAACTTTTAAAGAAAAAAATAGATCAAGAATATTAAGATCTATGAAAGTAATTATAATGCCAATAATATATACCAAACGTTCTGCATGGAACCCAACTCAGTACTGGAGAAAGAAGAAAAATAACAAAAGGTTAATTGAATGCAATGACACCTGATCTAAGTAAGAAGCTTACAATAATTGGTATCCAAAAAACACCATGTCCACACAAACAAATGTTTTTTCGATGTGTGTTGCCTCAGACTTATGTAGAGATCTAATTCTGTGGTGTCACTCACAGCCACCTTGCTCGGCAAACACGGGTATTACAGAAAGAAGGTGGAATGTTATGTCACCTAATTTAGAATTGGGGCAAACAGCTGGGAGTGAAACATCCAGATACCAAATTTACTCGTTTTCAACTTATTTTCTTCAAGGTCTTTCCAGGCATAAATTAAGTGTTTATATTCACTACCAAAAAACCATGACATCAACATGCAAATGCAGCACATATGCATATATACATGGTGATGTGCAATTAATGCAGGGGCATAGAAATAGGTACAGCACAGAAATGGGTACAGCACAGAAACAGGTACAGCACAGAAACAGGTTCTCCATTTATATATCTGAAGCAAAAGTTTAGTGACTTGTTCCAAAAACAGACCCGGAACAAAGGAGGCATCACAAATAAGCAGATTAATTGGAGCAAAAGAGAAAAGCAGTATGTTTCATGTTGTTTAATTATTAGTTCGAAATAACTGACTACATGCGCCTAGATCTCCTTTTTAAAATTTGATGATTGGGTGCCCTATTAAAACATTTGAAAAGGATACATGAATAGTACTTATTATATCAAAATAATTGTTTGAGAACATGTACAATGATGGTCCTTAGCCCTTTCACCCCTAGGTAGCTTTAGTAGATTCTACTATGCATTTATGGGGATGAGTCGATTATGGTCTATGGTGGTGAAAGGGTTAAGTGTATGGGTTCTATTAAAAACAGATCCAATAATGGTTCTCTGTTGCCTTGATGTTGGTGAAAGACCGTGAGGTTCTGCTTGATGGAGGCATTGCTGGACTTAGCCATCTTCCATATGTTGTCGGTATTATACGTTGGTATTATAGGCTTATTCCACAAGAGGTTATGTTTTATGGTGGTGTCAAGTTATTTGACCAGTGAGATGTTGTAAGAGATATAGCCATGAACGATGTAGGCTGACTTCAGTGAGTTCCTTTTAACCGTTGGTGATAAGAGATGGCCGCCCAGGATTGAAGTCGACCGCCTAGTTGTGTTTCCATTTCTGGAGGAATTTGAGTATAAGTCTACTTTAAGTGGGACATTTCCCAATGTTGAGGACGCTGCTGTAGTACCATATATTGTTGAAGTAAAAGTACCGAATACATATATGTGAATGTTTACCTGGAGTGGGACAGGTTGTGCTATTCTTGATTTTCACTTCCAATTAAAACTTTGAAGAGTTATTGAATTACAAAATAGGCCTATAGCTAAACATTTATTATATGAGCAGTTTTACTTACGAATATCATCAGTGTGTGCCAAAACTAATTCTCTTAAAATCTTTCAAAAAAACCTATTAAGTCTTTATAAATTTTGGTCGGAAAAAGAGAACATGATTTAGATTTGATCTGGTAGTTCATAAATAGATTTACACATAAATATTTGATCAGAAAAGTGCATTCTAATACCATGCCAGCATTATAGCCTGGTATATCCACCAAGTGTTATCCATTATAGCCTGGTATATCCACCAAGTGTTATCCATTATAGCCTGGTATATCCACCAAGTGTTATACATTATAGCCTGGTATATCCACCAAGTGTTATACATTATAGCCTGGTATATCCACCAAGTGTTATCCATTATAGCCTGGTATATCCACCAAGTGTTATCCATTATAGCCTGGTATATCCACCAAGTGTTATACATTATAGCCTGGTATATCCACCAAGTGTTATACATTATAGCCTGGTATATCCACCAAGTGTTATCCATTATAGCCTGGTATATCCACCAAGTGTTATCCATTATAGCCTGGTATATCCACCAAGTGTTATACATTATAGCCTGGTATATCCACCAAGTGTTATACATTATAGCCTGGTATATCCACCAAGTGTTATCCATTATAGCCTGGTATATCCATTTTGTGAAAGGTTCACTTCTTTGTTCATTTTACATCTATGATCAGTCAAAAATCATCTATCTTCGAGATATTGGTGTCGTCAAAAGTCAGTCATAAATTTTATGGTGTTAGGGACAGATAACTAGTGTATTTGTATATATATATACTGTACATTTCTAGTAGTTGGAACTTTAGTAAGTCTGTGATTGTGAGGTTTAAACTTAAGTCCTACTTATGAAATTTTTCCTGTTACACAACCACTTAGTGTTTCAATATGACGTTTCAATGACTAGTACGGTATGTACGTACTTCAGCTGTCACCTTCATCAGACAAATGACCAGTGAAGCGTGTGTACACAAAGGTGTAAAATATGTACGATTTGTCCACAAATCGATGTCAATTCGGATACGCTTTAAGCGTATGTACAGTTGTTAAATATGTACCGAAATGACTCGATTCATGATGAAGGTGACAAGAGTACATACCGTACTAGTCATCGATTATAAACGTCACATTGAAACACTAATTGGTTATGTAACGAGAAAGATTTCATAATCCATACTTACCAACCTGAAGAAAATGTTCTAGAAATATCTGAAGACCTACTATTGACAGGACTGTTTCCCTAATGAAATCTTCCTTGTAAAATAAATTCATTTTAATTCTCTTCATCCAACCATGCAAGCAACCTAACATTCACCTCTATTATAATTACAGGTACATTGTTTTGTATTATCTGTAAAAAAAAAAGTGTTGTATTATCTGTAAAAAAAAAAAGGAGCTTTTTGTAACTAACTTGATGAATTTTGTTACGATAAAAGCTTCAAATAAAAGGACGAAGAAGTATGACTATATTTTCTCTCTCTCTCAAAAAAAAAGACTATATTCTCAGTGAATAGGCTGTTGGTCTCCCAACATTTCAAATATTGTCACAAACATCATAACAACATTGAATCAGCACCACTTGACCCACTCATGGCTTAAGAAAGCAAGACATAAATCTTATGATGAGCTAAATCTTTAAGCTGGAATCAACTGAATACGTAATATCCTTTTATTGATTAATGCCCCTAATCTTTATGGTCACTCTGTGTGGTGGTCAGTTGTTGATGGTGGTGGTCAGTTATTGAGATGTATAAAAAGTGTGAACAAGTCTCTAGTCAGTTTGTGGTCAGCATTCTATCTGATAAATCTGCTGACCTGGTCACCTACTCCTCAATAGTCTGTAGGAGAGCTATAGGAGAATCGTTGTTTACTAAGACACTGGACCAAGATGTAGAATGTGTCCCCCACCTCGCTGACCCTCAGTCTAGCTCGGGACAGTTTAGCCGACAGAACAGTTCATCCTGTCGCCATTTAAGACAGACCTGTCAGACATAGCAGAAACGTTTACTCTAAACCAATCCTACTCTGTCAATAAAACGAAAACTGGTAATAACTCAGATCTGTTTACACCAAGTGTCTGTTACCAAATATCAGGAACATGTATCTTAGAATTAGGGTAACATGATTTAGGTAATTGTTTAATAATCCATGGGCCATGTCAAAGTTAGATCCCCGCAAATTCCGGAAAAAATTGTAATTCACACAATTATCAATTGATACTTTTAATATAACCTAAAATACTTGATAAATAATATAAACCATTAAGCTAATGATTTGTGATGATCACATTATCACTCCATCGTTCATGCCAAGGGGTGTAGGATAGGAAAATTCCACCCGCAGGGTGGGGGGGTGGTGTCAAATTTGGTAAAACCAGAGGCTATGTCAACCACACAGATCACTGGTCGTAGACATGCACCATTTTGAACTTTCTGACCTTCAACATACTTCATCACCCCAGATACCTAGCTACCAGAACTTAAATATGCCATGCACCTTAAGCTTATTTCAGAACAATTAGGATCAATACTTTCCGGTTGTTGATATGTTCTTTCGAAAAGATTCATCAAAGGAATGACCTTAACAAACTCTCAAGGTCACTTTTGAATGATTAAGGCCCTGTAGCCTCTTGTTTGTGCAGTTGAGATATATTGCCATGTGTTTATTCTATATTTTGGAATCATACATTATTAAACAGTACCAAAACAAGAGATAGATGACAGAAGCCAAGTTTCAGAATGCTCTAGAACATTAATCACTTTCTTAACATCTCTATTTGAAAATTAAAAAATTTAAGTCATTAATTTCATGAAAGTATATCAGTGTTAGTGCTTTGGTGGTTGTGTAATTTATTTAGGTTCTATGCTAATTCATCAATATTTCTTAATGCCCTGTCAACTGACATATAATGTTCTCCCTACGCTAGCTTATTGAAGGTAATTTATTTGTCTCATTTCAACCTTTGTCTCAGTGGTGATATTTCGTTAAACATCAATCATATCTGTGTGGATTTACTGAGACTTTCTATAAACTATGAAGCTTCCTAGCTTTAGCTACAGATAGACAAGGCAGGGCTCAGCTCTTGGGTAACCTAGCGCACCCATCAGTTATCTCACCTCCTGGCGAGTGAGAAGTGAGAACTGATCATGTTATATGAGACCCAGCTTGCCTTCTCTGGACTTGGTGTTCAAACAAATTACTTCTTAACATTGTGGTTTTAAATATTTCAACGATTCTTGTCTGAGGTCTAGGCAGCAATTAGCCACTCTGATACCGTGGTCGGTGTGGTGACCCGAAAAAGCTGGCCACGACTTGTGGCCCTGTGTAAAATGCTGCCATATCCACTCGTTCTGTTCCACGCCTTGTACCAACCCTCCAATGTTCCAGCTTGCATTGGAAAATTAGTTTCCTCTAAACTGATCCATTTGTTTCCTGGGGTAAGATTAAACCCATAGATTTATTTGATTGTTCCGGTGAACATGTCATTTTTGGATGTAGGGCCATCAATTTGCTAACCAATTTACATGCATTAATGATTACACGCAGCTGTTGTTGCTATGAGGAAGGCCTCATTTTGACATTTAGGATATTTTCAGGTACTCGATTACCACTTGATATTTTGTAGGTGTACAAGTTAAATTGGTATCGGACACAGGGATCCAGGAATCGGTCTTTATTCAGTCTGAGTTTTGTTTTTTTGTTTTTTTATCATTTAAATACCTTTACTCCTAGACTTTCTATTAATATATTCTGGACTAAAAATTCTATTTATCGCTGACAGTGTTAACAACTTCTACTATTAAGATATTAACATGAGAGGAAAAAAGCATGGCCACACGGGGTTCAAACCTGGGACCTCTAACCCTAGGAGGACACTTGAACTGATAGAGCCACCTCAGGTAGCTGACAATCAACCCGGTCCAGTTCCAATACATGATCTTCTTTCCTTTTTCTAAGTCTTCATCCCCAAAGATAGTACTATTTACAACCCTGAGATCTGAGTACCACCCCCCCACGGTAGCACTATTTACAACCCTGAGATCTGAGTACCCCCCACCCCCCCNCCCCCCAGATAGCACTATTTACAACCCTGAGATCCGAGTACCCCCCCAGATAGCACTATTTACAACCCTGAGATCCGAGTACCCCCTTGCATAGCATTTACACATACTTGAAATTTGGTCAGAGGCACTGGTCACTGTAATAAGAATGGAAAATACTGGGAGTCGAACCTTGGACCTCCAAACTCTCAGTTCTGGGGGATGCTCTTACCAATCAAGGCACCCAGTTGCTGGCAAGTGATCTAGTTGAATTCCAATACATTTCGAAGGATCTCATCTCTGATCCAAAAATGAAAATATTATTGTCAAACTAAATTCTGCATAAACGATGTCTCAGTGATGGTCCATTGTCCAGCTGAGAAATTTCATATAGCTACACATTTGATAAGCATTCAGAATTTCAAAAAGAGTGAAAAATTCTCTTTATGTTAATAATCATGAAATCTTGATACATACATGTAGGTGAAGCATCGAGATGTAAAGCTTATAGAACCTATGCAGACTTTAAATCCACTTTTGGCTGTGACAAATATTTTCTTCACCCTTAAAAATTTTGAGCAAAGAAGCAGTCTATAACAGTGTTATGTAAATCCTTTTATTGTGTTTGAGTTAGATCTGGTCTGGTCGATATCACAATTCAGGTATATTACCTCATTTGAAAATCTGTCTTCATTGTGATTCTTACAGAGTAGGAGATGAAAACTATAACAAAAAATATTTGCTTGCTAATTAATTTTAATAGTGAAAGATTTATTGTTGCAATGCATCCATGATTTTTTTTCATACTTGTTGCTGACAAGTTCATATAGCAAATTAAATGAACCATGGAAATGTTGATATTCCTATTATTTTGAGCAAATTTATTTTGATGTATATATTTGTACTTCTGCAATAGACACAAGATGAATGAGCTAGTTAATCATCATTTAAATAGCAAGTCCTCAATTATGTCCCTTGCATATTACCAACAAATTTGTGTTAAGCAAAAACCTCTTTGTGTCTGTTACAGCAAAATAAGTCAACTAAACTTTACCAAAGGCATATCAACTCTTGCATCCTTCACTTGTAGCTATAGCTATCACAGGGGAGATAACTATTATTACACCACATAATCTGACCTACACTGATTATTTGTTATAATATGTATTAACTCACCTAACTTAGGGCTATGTGAGCTAATGTCACTGCATCAGTGTCTGTTGTCAACTTTTCCTTAAAAAAACTTTTTCTCATGCACTTCTGAAGGATTTTCCTAATATATAATAGTCCATGGGTTATCCCATGGAAACTGTTGAGATCAGACTACACAATTACTTTCAATGAGAATATGCATTACGAAGACTGTGTAATATTCATATGATTGTTACAATTTAGCCCTTTTGGCATTTGGTTAATTATAGCCCGCTTGTGTTAGGAAGAATTTCCTAGCTGCATTTTACTACATTGTACTGACTATTCTCCCCCTAGTTTGAGAACAGACTATGCAAGTGATCAACGTTATTGGACTTCATTTTTTTCTGATTGACGGTTACAATAATAAGCTTGGTCTCCTGGTGTCCGTTGACTGGTTCGATAGTGTTTCTGTTATATTGTGTGCATCATTTATCCCTGCTATAAATTATGCTATTGCACAGTTCTACCATCGTTGGTGATGTACTATCAGTACTTTTCTTTGCATAGTCAATAACCATGTATTATAACTGTTTTACCAAATAACTAAACAAGAGTGATTAATATAAGTTGAAATATCTTGTTTCATAAATGTTGTAAAACATTAAAACAAATAAAGTTAATTTTATTATTAAAACTGTTGGGCAATGATACAAGCACATGTCATATAAATTCATCTGAAAGCCCCGATCAATCGTATTGCAAATGTAACCGAGTGAGTGACTGTCATTGTACAAATTAGCTTTGTCAGGTGGGGGAACAATGTGTGCATGTGCATATCTGATCTTTCTCTATGCATTCATGTTAAACTGGCTGGACAGTAAAATTGACATATTTAGCGCCAGAAGATGATCTGTTAGTAATATTGTCTGCAGCCTCTTAGTGATGCATCACATGACAAAACTTTGCACATATACATGTATGTACATAAGGGCAGCCTGATTTAAATAATTAGATAATCTAGGTCACACTGCATATAGTCACTGAAATAGACAAAAGTGCATTCAGTTATATTTTAATGTGGTTGAATAGATTTAATCAGCACATACTTGTATTACAAAGTGTAACTAAGGATGAAAAAAAACCACCAGAATAATTAGCTTAGACGGAAGTGTCTTTTTTGAAGGCTGACTCTTTTTCAACATTTTCTGTCCATCATTATATATTTCACAATAAATTTATTATTTCTTAAATATTGATTATTTTTATCATTCTTACTGTTGTAAGACTGATTTTTCTTGCAAATCTTATAGAAATTGTCCATGTCTCTGAGCCCTGATTTACCGTTTTGTCCTAAATCTACTCCCCTACCAGAACAATATTATATGTCACCCACATTTCTGAAATTAGTTGTGAAAGGTTTCTTGTTCTTAATCAACTTCCCTGCAAAGAAATGTAATCCTCTTCTCTTAAAAGTGTCTGTTGATTTTGGAAACATAGTGTAACATTTTGTATTATTGTGTTTATTCTTTGTTCATGTAACAAAAACTTCAGAATAGTTTTATTTAAATACATATATAATATTTGATTAGTTTGATAAATACATTAATTTTTGCTCTTTTCTTGTTTTTAGATTCTCTGTCTACATGGATACAGGTAAGCATTCAGAAACTGTCACATCACAAAACTCGTCAAATATTTCATATGATGTTAATATCAAAAGTGAAAAATAACACGAATGTACGTTTATATGCAACTGTGTCTTATATGTTTTATACCTGAGGTTCGTGTTGGAGTTATCTCCCTCATATAATACCTGTGATCTGTGTGAGAGCAACGCCTTTCCTTGTATATATATGGATACTTGTGATTAATATCTGAGTGTTATCTGCCTTCTAGCAAAATTATTTTACCAGTAGTATTTGTCAGAAGCTTGTATCCTTGCATATATACTTTATTCTTTTCATATGGCTTGTGACAGTAGTTATCTCCCTTGCACATTATTCATGTGATAGGGAATATCTGAGTTATCTCCCTTACATATTATTCATGTGATTGTGAATATCAGAGTTATCTCCTTTACATATCAATCATGTGATAGTGAATATCTGAGTTATCTCCCTTACACATTATTGATGTGATAGTGAATATCTGAGTTATCTCCATTACATATTATTCCTGTGATGGTGAATATTTGAGTTATCTCCCTTACATATTATTCCTACGATGGTGAATATCTGAGTTATCTTCATTACATATTATGCCTGTGATGGTGAATATCTGAGTTATATGTCTCTTACATATCATTCCTGTAGTGTACATATATATCTGAATTATTTCTTTAACATATTATTTCTGTTATTTGTTTTAATCTACCTTTCATATAATCACTGTGAGTTGTGTCAAGAGTTATTTCTCTAAATTACACATTACACATTTTAACTGTGAGGTGTACATGTGTAACCATTTTTTCCCTTGCACATATCTATTATTTGCGTGAGAGTTCATATATGTTCAGGTATACCTTGTGTTTGTCATATTTCAAGGGAAACAACTCTTACAAACTTAATACTGTACATGTACCAGGTACAAAACAAGAAGCTTTTTTTTGTGTTGAATACATGAATGGTTAACAAAAAAAAAGTCATATAAAAATAACAACATACTACAACTACAATTTACAATGAACCTGAAATCATTTAATTGCTATTCAAATAGACCATGTGGAACTAGATAACAAGTACTGAACCGATGGTGATGTTGGGATAGATTTACCTTCATTACATTAAAAGAAAAAGGCATAAAGAGGAAATAGAGCTAATACTGAGTATGACAAATGAAGTGAGTTTGTAAGATTGAAACTTGTAAACTGTGTAATCTGATCTTTTCAGACAAAATGGCCAGACATTCCGGGAGAGAACTGGGGCATTCCGAAAGATCATTAAAAGTAGAGCAGAACTAGGTAAGGCCATCTCTATGTTGTTAGAACAGGACCTGTGATACAGGGCAGTAGTGCTGGTACTCTGAATTGGATTGAAATTTGTTCTGTTAATTAATAATGTAAACCATCAAATATTTTTGTACAAAATTTGCTATGCTGAATAACACAATGCCACTTTAGTACCAGATTGGGTTACTACCAAACCTTCCTTATTTCTTGTGTATGTAAACATTAATGTTTGAATGACGTATGATTTTATGTAGAGTTGTTGATAGACCCTAACTGTGTGCCACTATTTATATATATTGCCTGGTCAAAAGGAGGCCACACCCACAGTAATACCTCCAGAATATCCCAGAAATATGCCCACAAAATCACCCCCAGACATACCCCCATACCAATCAACATACCCCCATATCAATCAACATATCTCCATACCAATCAACATATCCCAATATCAATCAACATATCTCCATACCAATCAACATATCCCCATATCGATCAACATATCCCAATCATACCAATCAACATCTCACCATATCAATCAACATACCTCCATACCAATCAATCAATCAACATATCTTCATACCAATCAACATATCTCCATACCAATCAACATATCCCCATACCAATCAACATATCCCAATACCAATCAACATATCCCCATACCAATCAACATACCCCCATATCAATCAACATATCTCCGTATCAATCAACATATTTCCATATCAATCAACAAATCTCCATACCAATCAATCAACATAGCTCCATATCAATCAACATACATATCCCCATATCGATCAACATATCCCAAAAATCAACATATCCCAAAAATCAACATATCCCAAAAATCAACATATCCCAATACCAATCAACACATCCCCATCCCAATCAACATACCCCTATATCAATCAACATATCCCCATATCAATCAACATACCCCCATATCAATCAACATATCTCCATACCAATCAATCAATCAACATATCCCCATACCAATCAACATACCCCCATATCAATCAACATACCCCCATATCAATCAACATGTCCCTATATCAATCAACATATCCCAATATCAATCAACATATCCCCATATCAATCAACATACCCCCATATCAAGCAACATATCCGCATATCAATCAACATATCCCAAGACCAATTAACATATCCCAATACCAATTAACATATCCCCATATCAACATACATATCCCCATATCAATCAACATATCCCAATATCAATCAACATATCCCCATACCAATCAACATATCCCCATATCAACATACATATCCCCATATCAATCACCATATCCCCATATCAATCAACATATCCCCATATCAATCACCATATCTCCATATCAATCAACATATCTCCATATCAATCAACATACCCCCATATCAATCAACATACCCGCATAGCAATCAACATGTCCCCATATCAATGAACATGTCCCAATATCAATCAACATATCCCCATATCAATCAACATATCTCCATACCAAGCAATCAATCAACATATCCCCATACCAATCAACATCCCCCCATATCAATCAACATCCCCCCATATCAATCCACATGTCCCCATCTCAATCAACATATCCCAATATCAATCAACATATCCCCATACCAATCAACATATCCCCATATCAACATACATATCCCCATATCAATCAACATATCCCCATATCGATCAACATATCCCAATACCAATTTACATATCCCCATATCAATCAACATATCCTAATACCAATTAACATATCCCCATATCAATCAACATACCCCCATATCAATCAACATATCCCAATACCAATTTACATATCCCCATATCAATCAACATATCCCAATACCAATTAACATATCCCAATACCAATTAACATATCCCCATATCAACATACATACCCCCATATCAATCAACATACCCCCATATCAATCAACATATCCCAATACCAATCAACATATCCCAATACCAATCAACATATCCCAATACCAATTAACATATCCCCATATCAACATACATATCCCCATATCAATCAACATATCCCCATATCAATCAACATATCCCCATAACAACTTACATATCTCCATACCAATCAACATACCCCCATATCAATCAACATACCCCAATATCAATCAACATATCCCCATAACAATCAACATATCCCCATATCAACATACATATCCCCATATCAATCAACATATCCCCATATCAATCAACATATCCCAAAACCAATTAACATATCCCCATATCAATTAACATATCCCCATACAAATCAACATATCCCAATACCAATTAACATATCCCCATATCAATCAACTTATCCCAATACCAATTAACATATCACCATATCAATCAACATATCCCCATATCAACATACATATCCCCATATCCCATATCAATCAACATATCTCCATATCAATCAACATATCTCCATACCAATCAACATATCCCCATATCAATCCATATCAATCAACATACCCCCATATCAATCAACATATCCCAAAACCAATTGACATATCCCCATATCAATTAACATATCCCAATACAAATCAACATATCCCAATACCAATTAACAGATCCCCATATCAATCAACATCCCCCCATATCAATCAACATATCCCCATAACAATCAACATACCCCCATATCAATCAACATACCCCCATATCAATCAACATATCTCCATACCAATCAACATATCCCCATATCAAACAATCAACATACCCCCATATCAACCAACATATCCCAATACCAATTAATATATCCCCATATCAATCAACATACCCCAATATCAATCAACATACCCCCATATCAATCAACATACCCCCATCTCAATCAACATATCCCCATATCAAACAATCAACATACCCCCATATCAACCAACATATCCCAATACCAATTAATATATCCCCATATCAATCAACATATCCCCATATCAATCAACATATCTCCATACCAATCAATAGACATGCCTATAGATATGTTCTGTATACATGTATGAATTTCTTTCTTTTTTGTAGTGTTTATGACAGCCCCTAACCGGGTTCCACCATTGCCCGGGCAAGAGGTTGACACACCCACTGACACGCCTGACAAACAAGGTAGATTATTTCTCTTTTTAAAGTAGACAGTTCAGTTTGAGCAGAACATTGTTGAAGGTGTTATTTATCCATCAGTTTTGTGCGAGATGATATTTGCAAAAAATGGCCCATTTCAAATCCAGCATCTTACTACTTCTACCCCAATGGTTTTGTAATAATTCTATGAAAAAGATGCTTGGCCTTTCAAGATAGGGCTTAAAAGAAGAGTATTACAAAACAGAAAATCTACATATTATTGTGATTGTGAGGTTTGATTTCCTGTTGTAGCTGACCAGATGCGGTGGTGTTATCTCCCATTCTGTGAGGTTTGTTTTCCTGTTGTAGCTGTCCAGATGCGGTGGTGTTATCTCCCTTTCTGTGAGGTTTGTTTTCCTGTTGTAGCTGACCAGATACATTGGTGTTATCTCCCTTTCTGTGAGGTTTATTTTCCTATTGTTGCTGACCATATACAGTGGTGTTATCTCCCTTTCTGTGAGGTTTGTTTTCCTGTTGTAGCTGACCAGATGCGGTGGTGTTATCTCAATTTCTGTGAGGTTTGTTTTCCTGTTTTAGCTGACCAGATGCGATGGTGTTATCTCCCATTCTGTGAGGTTTGTTTTCCTGTTGTAGCTGCCCAGATGCAGTGGTGTTATCTCCCTTTCTGTGAGGTATGTTTTCCTGTTGTAGCTGTCCAGATACATTGGTGTTATCTCCCTTTCTGGGAGGTTTGTTTTTCTGTTGTAGCTCACCGGATACATTCGGGTTATCTCCCTTTCTGTGAGGTATGTTTTCCTGTTGTAGCTGTCCAGATACATTGGTGTTATCTCCCTTTCTTTGAGGTTTGTTTTCCTGGTTTAGCTGACCAGATGCGGTGGTGTAATCTCCCTTTCTGTGAGGTTTGTTTTCCTGTTGTAGCTGACCAGATGCAGTGGTGTTATCTACCTTTCTGTGAGGTTTATTTTCCTGTTGTTGCTGACCAGATACAGTGTTGTTATCTCCCTTTCTGTGAGGTTTGTTTTTCCTTTTGCAGCTAACCTGATAGGGTAATTTTATCTCCCTTTCTGTGAGGTTTGCTTTCCTTTTGTAGTTGACCAGATGGGATGGTGGTTTTCACAAGAGGATGACTTTTATATGGCTCAAGATTATACAGACTGCTGTAAAGGCTACAAAGAGTCACTGGACACAGTAACACAGGTCTTTCAGGAACAGGTGAAGATAGGAAGAAGTTATTGTAGTACTAATTCACAGCTCATACATGTATTTCAAGAACAGGGATAGACTATCAGAAGCCCATGCCACGTCTGAATTAGGGATATACAAATTATTATAAACCTTAATTAACCTTTATTGACTTTAAACCACAACACTTATTGTGCTAACTACTAAGCATGCTATTCCCATAAACACAGCTCTTAATAGGCCTATCATTTCTCACTAACCTTTGGAGAAGAATCAAATTAATGTCCAATTTAAATGTCAAGATTCTTGAGAGTATAGTTATAATAGTTATAATTGATTTTTTTTTTTGCAGGGTCCTTTTGATGGTGTGCTTGCCTTTAGTCAAGGGGCTGCTTTCTTATCCCTGATCTGTGCTTTGAGGGAACGTAGCCCTACAGGTGGGTCACTGTTATTTCATTAACTTTAACCAAGCCAGTAAAACTGCTGATAGTTTTCACAACATTGCTACTAAAATGAAGCTGAATTAAGTGTTGCGTGCTTGTTGTAAACCTCATATTTCTTTACTACAGACACACCGTACCAAACCTCGTAATTCTTTACTACAGACACATCGTACCAAACCTCGTAATTCTTTACTTCAGACATACCGTACCAAACTCATAATTCTTTACTACAGACACATCGTACCAATCCTCGTAATTCTTTACTACAGACACACCGTACCAACCCTCGTAATTCTTTACTACAGACACACCGTACCAAACTCATAATTCTTTACCACAGACACACCGTAACAAACCTCATAATTCTTTACCACAGACACACTGTACCAAACTCATAATTCTTTACCACAGACACATCGTACCAAACCTCATAATTCTTTACCACAGACACACCGTACCAAACCTCATAATTCTTTACTACAGACACACCTTACCAAACCTCGTAATTCTTTACTACAGACACACCGTACGAAACCTCATAATTCTTTACTACAGACACATCGTACCAAACCTCATAATTCTTTCCCACAGACACATCGTACCAAACCTCATAATTCTTTGCTACAGACACACTGTACCAAACCTCATAATTCTTTACTCCAGACACACCGTACCAAACTCATAATTCTTTACCACCGACACACCGTAACAAACCTCATAATTCTTCACCACAGACACACTGTACCAAACTCATAATTCTTTACCACAGACACACCGTACCAAACTCATAATTCTTTACTACAGACACATCGTACCAAACCTCATAATTCTTTACTACAGACACACTGTACCAAACCTCATAATTCTTTACTACAGACACACCGTACCAAACTCATAATTCTTTACTACAGACACATCGTACCAAACCTCGTACCAAACCTCGTAATTCTTTACTACAGACACACCGTACGAAACCTCATAATTCTTTACTACAGACACACCGTACCAAACCTCATAATTCTTTACTACAGACATACCGTACCAAACTCATAATTCTTTACTACAGACACACCGTACCAAACTCATAATTCTTCACCACAGACACACTGTACCAAACCTCATAATTCTTTACTACAGACACACCGTACGAAACCTCATAATTCTTTACTACAGACACACCGTACCAAACTCATAATTCTTCACTACAGACACACTGTACCAAACCTCATAATTCTTTACTTCAGACACACCTTACCAAACCCCATAATTCTTTACTACAGACCCCCCGTACGAAACCTCATAATTCTTTACTTCAGACACACCTTACCAAACCCCATAATTCTTTACTACAGACGCACGTACCATACCAAACTCATCATTCTTTACTACAGACACATCGTACCAAACCTCATAATTCTTTACCACAGACACCCCTTACCAAACCTCATAATTCTTCACTACAGACATACCGTACCAAACTCATAATTATTTACTACAGACACACCGTTCCAAACCTCATAATTCTTTCCTAAAGACACACCGTACCAAACTCATAATTCTTCACTACAGACACACTGTACCAAACCTCATAATTCTTCACTACAGACATACCGTACCAAACCTCATAATTCTTTACTACAGACACACGTACCATACCAAACTCATAATTCTTTACTACAGACACACCGTACCAAACCTCATAAGTCTTTACTACAGACATACCGTACCAAACCTAATAATTCTTTACTACAGACACACGTACCATACCAAACTCATCATTCTTTACTACAGACACACCGTACCAAACCTCATAATTCTTTACTACAGACACACCGTACCAAACCTCATAATTTTTTACTACAGACACACCGTACCAGTTTGACTTTGCGATCCTTGTGGCAGGATTCAAGAGTCGTCAGTCCATGCACCAAGACCTGTACACTTCAAAGGTGTCTCTACCCTCCCTACATGTGTTTGGTGACACAGACAAGGTCATACAGAAAGGTAGGTCAGGTAACAGAGAAATGTTAGACAAGGTCATACAGAAAGGTAGGTCAGGTAACGGAGAAATGCTAGACAAGGTCATACAGAAAGGTAGGTCAGGGTCACAGAGAAATGTTAGACAAGGTCATTCAGAAAGGTAGGTCAGCTAACGGCAAATGTTAGACAAGGTCATACAGAAAGGAAGGTCAAGGTCAAAGAGAAATGTTAGACAAGGTCATACAGAAAGGTAGGTCAGGTAACGCAGAAATGTTAGACAAGGATATACAAAGGTAGGTCAGGTAACGTAGAAATGTTAGACAAGATCATACAGAAAGGTAGGTCAGGTAACGGAGAAATGTTAGACACAGTAATATAGAAAGGTAGGTGAGGTAACGGAGAAATGTTAGACACAGTAATATAGAAAGGTAGGTCTGGGTCACAGAGAAATGTTAGACAAGGTCATACAGAAAGGTAGGTCAGGTAACAGAGAAATGTTAGACAAGGATATACAAAGGTAGGTCAGGTAACGAAAAAATGTTAGACAAGGATATACAGAAAGGTAGGTCAGGTAACAGAGAAATGTTAGACAAGGATATACAAAGGTAGGTCAGGTAAAGGAGAAAGGTTAGACAAGGATATACAAAGGTAGGTCAGGTAACAGAGAAATGTTAGACAAGGTCATACAGAAAGGTAGGTCAGGTAACGGAGAAATGTTAGACAAGGATATACAAAGGTAGGTCAGGTAACGGAGAAATGTTAGACAAGGAAATACAAAGGTAGGTCAGGTAACGGAGAAATGTTAGACAAGGATATACAAAGGTAGGTCAGGGTCACAGAGAAATGTTAGACAAGGATATACAAAGGTAGGTCAGGTAACGGAGAAATGTTAGACAAGGATATACAAAGGTAGGTCAACAGAGAAATGTTAGACAAGGTCATACAGAAAGTTAGGTCAGGTAAAGGAGAAATGTTAGACAAGGATATACAAAAGTAGGTCAGGTAACAGAGAAATGTTAGACAAGGTCATACAGAAAGGTAGGTCAGGTAAAGGAGAAATGTTAGACAAGGAGTTACAAACGTAGGTCAGGTAAAGGAGAAATGTTAGACAAGGATATACAAAGGTAGTTCAGGTAAAGGAGAAATGTTAGACAAGGTCATAAAGAAAGGTAGGTCAGGTAACGGAGAAATGTTAGACAAGGATATACAAAGGTAGGTCAGGTAACGGAGAAATGTTAGACAAGGTCATACAGAAAGGTAGAACAGGGTCACAGAAAAATGTTAGACAAGGTCATACAGAAAGGTAGGTCAGGTAACAGAGAAATGCTAGACAAGGTCATACAGCAAGGTAGGTCGGGGTCACAGAGAAATGTTATCCAAGGTCATACAGAAAGCTAGGTCAGGTAACGGAGGAATGTTAAATAAGGATATACAAAGGTAGGGCAGGTAACGGAGAAATGTTAGACAAGGATATACAAAGGTAGGTCAGGTAAAGGAGAAATGTTAGACACAGTAAAACAGAAAGGTAGGTCTGGGTCACAGAGAAATGTTAGACAAGGTCATACAGAAAGATAGGTCAGGTAACGGAGAAATGTTAAATAAGGATATACAAAGGTAGGTCAGGTACGGAGAAATGTTAAGACAAGGATATACAAAGGTAGGTCAGGTAACGGAGAAATGTTAGACACAGTAATACAGAAAGGTAGGTCTGGGTCACAGAGAAATGTTAGACAAGGTCATACAGAAAGGTAGGTCAGGGTCACAGAGAAATGTTAGACAAGGTCATACAGAAAGGTAGGTGAGGGTCACAGAGAAATGTTAGACAAGGTCATACAAAGGTAGGTCAAGGTCACAGAGACATGTAAGTCAGTGTCATATAGAAAGGTAGATCAGGGTCACAGAGAAATGTGAGACAAGGTCATACAGGAAGGAAAGTCAAGGTCACAGAAGTGTTAGACAATTTCATTCAGAAAGGAAGGTCAAGGTCACAGAAATGTTGAACAAGTTCATACAGAAAGGAAGGTCAAGGTCACAGAGAAATGTTAGACAAGGTCATACAGAAAGGTAGGGGAGGGTCACAGAGAAATGTTAGACAAGGTCATATAGAAAGGAAGGTCAAGGTCACAGAGAAATGTTAGACAAGGTCATAAAGAAAGGAAGGTCAAGGTCACAGAGAAATGTTAGACAAGGTCATACAGAAAGGAAGGTGAGAGTCACAGAGAAATGTTAGACAAGGTCATATAGAAAGGAAGGTCAAGGTCACAGAGAAATGTTAGACAAGGTCATATAGAAAGGAAGGTCAAGGTCACAGAGAAATGTTAGACAAGGTCATACAGAAAGGAAGGTCAAGGTCACAGAGAAATGTTAGACAAGATCATACAGAAAGATATGTCGATATTTAATACAAAGTGTGTCAATGTTGAATGTCATAAGTAATGAGATAATTCAGGAATGTAGTATTCTGAAATATCTTGTTTTGTGGTGACATCTTATAGTCATTATTATGAACTTTTTGAATTAAGTGATGGTGTTGAATTACTGAATTAAGTGATGGTGTTGTATTACTGAATTAAGTTGCTGTGTTGTATTACTGAGTTAAGTGATGGTGTTGTATTACTGAGTTAAGTGATGGTGTTGTACGTATTACTGAATTAAGTGATGGTGTTGTATTGCTGAATTAAGTGATGGTGTTGTATTACTGAATTAAGTGATGGTGTTGTATTACTGAATAAAGAAATGGTGTGTTACTGAATTAAGTGATGGTGTTGTATTACTGAATTAAGTGATGGTGTGTTACTGAATTAAGAGATGGTGTGGTACGTATTACTGAATTAAGTGATGGTGTTGTACAATGTATTACTGAATTAAGTGATGGTGTTGTATTACTGAGTTAAGTGATGGTGTGTTACTGAATTAAGTGATGGTGTTGTATTACTGAATTAAGTTGCTGTGTTTCACTAAATGATGGTATTTTGCATTACAGAAATGAGTGAAGAACTTCTGCCCTGTTACACTGACACAGTTATATTACAACATCCAGGAGGGCATTTTATCCCAGCCTCAGGACCACAGAAAAAGGTCTACACTCAGTTCCTGGATGTGATGCTGGAGAAGAGGAAAACCCGAACTTGATTCTCGAGGAGTGACAATTTTACACAATAAAGTGATAGAAAGGTGATATTTGTTTGATTTGTTATTTGCTAGAAAACTGTTTAGATTATTTATATGATTAATGTTGGAGCAATTTTTGTGACAATATATACATTGCTTAATAAGGCAAATATATATATATATATAAACCCTCTCTACTGCATAGGCAGGTATCAAAATCATACTTAAATTGTACATGCACCATTATATTATTTAAAAGACCTTACAGTGTGTTTGGTGATTTTTGTAGTTTCTTTAATTAGCCCATGAATTGAAATGAATTCTGACCAACCTATCCTATTTCATCAGGAATTCATCAAGATTCATCAGTTTGGAATGAATAATGAATAGTAACTTTGTTTTGATCATAAACAGTAGTTGAACACTTTTGCAAGCTTTTGAAAATTGACTGTTTCCTTTGTGAAGAAAAGAGTACAAATGACCGGTGTCTCAACTCCGCTGGTTTCCAGTGGGTTAGAGTCGAAACATCAGTCACTTGCACTCTTTGGAAACAGGCACTTTTCAAAGCTTGTAAAATAAGTTTTCAATTACAAAATGTACTGTTAGTGTTCAAAGCAAACTTATATGTAGCATTTATTATACCTGAAGGGTATGACCTTAATTACCTTAGGCCAGGGCCAAAAAAAGTCTGATAGGTGATAATATTTAAAACACTCGTTTTCAGATGAGTTTAAGCTATAACATCATTTGGCATAAAGCATCCCTGGATGAAGGAAATTAAGTGAAAAGTGACCATCCCTTATATGGATATCTTACTAACAAGACTTGTAAATCAAGCTGGTGCCACTCTTCTAGATGCCCCATTATCAACTATATTCTTAGGTCAAGGTTATAGAAAATAGTCTAGCTGGGTGAGGAGACAGGGTACATTCATTACCTCGGAATCCAAAAGACTGATCTTTTTAAAAATTTGACATGATGATACACTGTGATAAGCAGATTTGCAATAGGGGTTAAAGTGTTAAGATCAAGGTCAAGGTTACTGAACTAAAAACAGATGGTGGATACCGTCAGCCATATGGAGGGCCCTTCCAGACCTGTCAGTGTTCTAGTTGGTGAAGCAAATATATTAAGTTTTGCTAAAACTGAAAATAAAATAAAAAAGTCTGTTCTTATTATTGTGTTTTATTTCACAATAATCTCATGTACATGTATACTACTTACAAATAAGCATTTAGAAAAACCCAACGAACAATGAGCATTATATAAAGGATGTGAATACTTCAGTCAAAGATCGATAGAATAGCTCCCTACGATTGCTGGCACATTGTATACAGATTCTTGACCAGTGAAATGCTTTTATGTGTGACGGTTTGATTTGTACTGTCACCTTCATCAGCAAAATGACAAGTAAAGCATATGTACCCTGATGTGTAAAATATGTACACGGTGACAACAAAAAATGATAGGTGGTTCGGCCATTGGATATAAGCATGTGTACACTTTTACTGGTCATTTGTCTGATGAACGAGGCAGAGTACATATCATGATTGACACCAAAGCATATCAATTACTTGGTAACTGAAACATTGCACACTAACATTTTGCCGGTTGTGCTTTATAAAAACATGTACACATGCAATCTATTTTATACCAACCTTAGGGAAAAGTTCAACACTGTAGAAATTGTCAATATTATAGAAACTTTCAATATCAGTATGAATTGTTGCCATGGGTACCCAGTCAGAATTACCATCAAACAGCCACACATACAGCAGTAAAACATTTGTCACTAACATTCTCATGATGAACACAACATGTTCTAGACTTCTGCAAAGTATATGTTTTCCATTTGGAATGAAAGGAAGTGAATTGTGAAGTACAGTTCTTTAACACTGTAGAGAATGTTTTCCTGATTTTGGTCCTGTGATGGTGGGCCTGTCTTACCAATGTCCTGTAACAGAGAAAGACCATTTTTGTTTTTTTCAGTCATGATAACACTTGCATATAGGCTACTGTATAGATGTTATATTTCACATAGTAAAATATTTCATTTTAATTCAGAAATTATTTGAGATATCTTTTTGTTATCAATTGTTATGATGACATACTGTTATTATTCATGGATAGTGTGAAAGGTTTGTGTTAATCATAGAACATTATATATTAATTAATGATTGCATATACTGTGGTCAAAGAAACATCATACATTGTTGCTTTGACAACATACCTGTGATCAAAGACACATTGTACAGTGTTGTTATTACAACATACCTGTGATCAAAGACACTTTGTACAGTGTTGTTATGACAACATACCTGTGATCAAAGACTACAATGTGTCTTTGATCACAGGGATGTTGTCATAACAACAGTGTACAATGTGTCTTTGATAAAGGATATATTGTCATAACAACACTGTACAGTGTTGTTATTACAACATACCTGTGATCACAGACACAATGTACAGTGTTGTTATGACAATATATCCTTTATCAAAGACACATTGTACACT